CCACACCTACACTAGTGCACACTGATGTAACTGCCTTCAGGCTTCATCAGTACGGTAAGGATTCAGGAAGCGAAGAAACCGATCCCAAATCACAAAAGGCTCCCGTTTGCTCCTTTTTTTTCCATCATTTATTTTCGTTTCTTCATCATTTTTTTTTCATCTCCTGGGTTGCACACGGTGCCTCGTTGCATCGTTTGCTTCCTGGATTTTTGTGTTATGTACCTTTAAAAAATTTCGTTATAGCTGAAATAACCCCAATTATGCCTCACTAGCAAAATCGGCGATTAAAACTATGCTCGCTACCATAGTTGAACTCATCTAAAAAGGTAAAACATGTTAAACTAAAAAGATTAATAAATTATAATACAAGTTAGACCTTCTGAGAATATCGAAATAGTTACTTTTTTATTTTTATTTTTAGAATTTTCACAAATTATATTTCCCAACACTTTTATAATAATTAAATAATAAATTTCTCGTATACTCGCTATTTAAACCAGTGTATTTGTATATGCTAGTTCTTTACGATATTCTCCGATGGTGGCAGCACCGGCGGAGAATGCACTAAGCCTATGAGTAATTTAATATAAAAGGCGTTGTAATACATACAAATCGAATTTTGACTTCCAAACATCAGTTATTGTTAAATTCCAAAATTCTGTTGTTACAAAATAAAGTTATTTTTTCACTCGGAAAAGTATTGAATCAAAATTGACTTCAAAATGTGACTCTTACCTGTTTTCCCCTGACCCTTCATGTATACTTAACTAAAATACGTTTTCTTTTTATTTCAAACTTCAATTCATATTGTATTGGTAAACAAGGAGATATGCTATTTTATGTTTATTATTAAATACTAATAATAAGAGTGTAAATAAATATTGAACAATTATTAAAGACGCCTAAAACTGTTAATCAATAAAACTACTCCTTTATTTTTATTTTTCTACGGCTTTTTTTTCTCTGTGGCTTTTTATATAAAATATTTTGATATTTACAATATTCTATCTCTGCCGAAGCGTTTTGATAAAAATCTAAAAACAATAAACCACCCACATAGAGTATAGTAGCCCAATCAAATTAGAGAAATAGGTGGAAAAAAATCCCACAGTTTTGAGAGCGGAGGGGTTAAATGTCACTTTTATGACTTTTTAGTTCAAATCTCGGAAAGTATGACACCTTTGTATGACACCTACGAAAAGTATACGTAAAGTATCTTATACCACAGATAACACATAATCTTAGAGAGATGAGATAATCTTAGAGAGATTATGTGTTATCTGTGCTTATACGGAAAATAGAAGATCAGAAAATTCACTACAAAATTGGTTGAATGTATTTTTTTTAACTTTTTAGGAACAAAAGCTCTTTTGGAGTTAGAGGGTTGACAAATTAACACTATTTCTCTGTATTTGTATCTGTATTTTCGCATTTAAAATCCAATTAAAGTCTAAATTTAACCTTTCGTATTAATAATAGTAATATTAAGTAGCCCTATGTTATCTTTTAGGTCTTCATTGCATCGCGACTTTTTGTCTTCCGTTGGAGAGCATTAGTGCACACAGGACTTAACAGTAACTGCAAGCTAAAGATTAATGCGTGTCTGCTTTACGATAAAAAAGTATACCACAGCATTAAGCGCAGCTGCAAATATTGTAGAAAGTATACGAAAACCAAGAATCATGATTTATGATCCATAAAGGCTCAGAGTTGAGCATTGCTCAAGACTTCTATCCCCGCCTCCAGTAGATTTTTCTAATGTTAAAATAGCTCGAAGCATTTGAGACATTAGCATTTGAGGATTTTTGGTCTGTTTTTCTGGGGTTGTATATTGCGATGATATTCTACATGATTTCTTCCTGTAGGTACATTTAACATAAATGTAATATGTACGTATCTGCACTACCCAATTCATTTCGACAATATAGTATCAGTCTTCCTTCGCAGAATTTCAAAGAGTCTTAAAAGCGCCATATGAAAGTGTGATTTTTGAACCTTCTCAACCTATAATAATTGAATACAATAATGATATCCACATACATATAACAAGAGTCCCTATACCTTAAAATTATCTATATTATTCCACATTATCCGTTTGAAACAAGTAATTTGTATTCAATAAAAAAGTGATTTTAATTTACTATTTGTAATAATGCATGTATCGCTTACTTTTTTAATTTAGTACAATAGACAAATGAAAGACCTACTTTGAAAAAAAATAATAAAGAATTTTCTTTTTTAATTTTGAACAATATCGTATAATATATTATGAAATTTAAATTACAAGAAATCTGTTATTAAAGATAAGGTGCTTTAATTTTCATTATAAGACTTTGAAATGAAGAATTATATGAAGGTATTTCTGATTTCCGACACAAAAATTAATTCAGAAACATAATAATTCACTATTATTTTATAAATGGATTATTATTTATTTTGTTTCTTTAATATATTATGTACATAATGTCGGTTTTGGTTCTTTTAATTACACAAAAATATAAAGCAAAATAAATTAACTGAAAACATTATCCATGTTAACAAACAACTTGCGCAGTCAAGGAGTGATTTATGTGAACGCATCGCGTCTAAAATTTATAAAATCACAGTATATACTAAAAGTTATAATAATTAAAAAATCATGATATCGTATTTCTTCAACGTTATATGAACGAAAAACGTGCAATGAAAACAAATGTGTTTGTACGGATTTGGAATATGCCATTTGATTTAGTATCCAAATTTATGAAGGGCATAGTTCGGAAACCATAAGTTCGGGAACAAAAATGTATAGAATCATTTTTATAGAGAATTTTGTCAGCTTTATTTCTTATATATAGAGCGTTTTCGGTAGATGTTATATTTTCCGAGATATAAGCAAAAAGTGAAAAAATTGACATTTAACTCATCCCCACTCCTCGAGCTCATCGTCTATCTTCGGGGCCTTTTAACATATCATATTATTTAGCATATCAGCCCAAGTCTATATAGAGGAATCATTCAAAACCATTTTCAAAACTATGGAAATTTTTTTTCCACCGATGGGCCTTTTTTAACTAATTTGACTGGTGTATAGCTAGTACAAGGCTAGTACTTAGAATTTTGATATTGTAATGCCTTTCTAGGAGTTTAGAATTGACGAATTTGAACAAAAAACTTGCAAAACTGGAAGGTTCAAATAAGCATGAAGATCAGACCGATGAAAAAGAGGATAAAATAAAAGAATTGGAACAAATATGTTCTAATTATTCCCAAGTTCAACACACACTTCAATGCCAAGTAGATCGCCTACAGGACGAGATGAGAAAATGACAAATTATATAGCAACTGACCGAAATCAGCTCGAAATACTTCAAAACAAAGTAGAAAATCACTTATTGATTTACGACATCGGTGAGTTCGTTTCCCCAGTAGTTACTTAATGCAATTTTTGAGTTTAGTATATGCCTTGTTTATATATTCATAATCAAAGGGTATATCGTCAGTGAAACGTGATAAACTGCTAACTCCATTTTTTATGTGAATAAGTTTTTTTTATACCATTAGAAAGAGAAAAATACTCTATAAATATGGAAAGCAGCTAAATTTTTTCAATTAAAAAAAATTGTTATTGTAACTCAATAATATCTGCTGATTCCCAGTGATCTGAAATAGCCATAATTTCCGTTACGATCACGCTCAAGCATATTGTATAATCATCTATTATACATATATATAGAAATCAGGAAACTACCCTTAATGGCAGTAAACCAAAAAATGCAATGCACCCAAATTGCAATGCAAATAACATTAATTAAAAAAAAACGTTTTGAGACTGCTGTATTTCGAGTTGCTATCGTTCCAGATGAGTTGTCTGGGCCTTCAATATGCTACACCGAGTGGACAACGGGGATCATGTCCGTGCCGATTATATTCTAGAAAACAGTGTTGCCGCAGTGGTACATTTGTACCAAATTTGATACTTTTAATTCTATTTGGTACAGTAGTACTACATTTTCAAATCCAGGATGATTTGGTACAATAATTATTTCCCACGCGCACCGAAATTGAATAGATATTTAATAATTATTGTCGTTGATATTGCATTAAACGCGCTTACCGATACCATTCGGAGAAAATCCGCATTAATTAACGACGTATTATAAACGTTGTAATGTCTATAGCGTTGCCTATATTAAATAACCCGAAGAAAAAACTTGAAAATTTACTGTTTCTAACATGCTTCTATATTTGCGTTTTTTTTAAATAAAATTTAAGTTTTCCAAGTATTGTGTGTAGTATTAGAATTACTTAGAATTCTTCAACCTATACATACTTATAATTGGGTTTTCTGAATTTCTATTTCATGTTTTTCGTCTCGATTTGTGTCTTTCTCCAGGAAGTTTTTTTATGTAGAAATTTATGAAGAAATTCACAGCGACCAAACCGGTTAAAGTCATATGCAGATGTATTTTGTTGTGCTTTAAAAAATTGTACCAAAGTGGTACATTTTTAGTTTATAATGTGGTACGCGCTAAAAGTTGGGTGCGGCAACACTGCTAGAAAACAGCCGCTATAGGCCCGTAGATGAACGAAGTATTTAGCCCGGGCGACTCATTTATGTTTGCCGCAACGGGGCCGGACCGTAGCGGATCCGAGGAAAAATGTACACCGACATTTCTCGGACGGGGCACGGACGCGTTCCGGCGAAGCTTGGCCCGTGCTCGGCTTAGCATGAATCAGAAGTATAAATATTTGACAATGTTTGCCGTGCCTTCACTGTCGCACGGCCCCGGCCCGTCACGGTGTACCATGAATCAGCCTTTTATTTATACTTATTCGCTGCCGGGCACGGCCGAGCTTCGCCGGAACGCGTCAGTGCCCCGCCGTCCGAGAAATGTCGGTGTACATTTTTCCTCGGATCCGCTACGCCCGGCCCTGTTGCGGCCAACATAAATGAGTCGCCCGGGCTAAATACTTCGTTCGTCTACGGCCTATAGCGACTGTTTTCTAGCAGTGTTGCCGCACCCAAACTTTTAGCGCGTACCACATTATAAACTAAAATGTACCACTTTGGTACAATTTTAAAGCACAACAAAAATACATCTGCAAATGACTTTAACTGGTTTGGTCGCTGTGAATTTCTTCATAAATTTCTACAAAAAACTTCCTGGAGAAAGACACAAATCGAGACGAAAAACATGAAATAGAAATTCAGAAAACCCAATTATAAGTATGTATAAGTTGAAGAAATCTAAGTAATTCTAATACTACACACAATACTTGGAAAACTTAAATTTTATTAAAAAAAAACGCAAATATTGTTTTCTAGAATATAATCGGCACGGACATGATCCCCGTTGTCCACTCAGTGTAGCATATATTGAAGGCCCGGACGTGGCTCGGTGTCTACTTTACGGAACGTGCCCGGCTCGGGTACGGCCCGGTGTACCATGAATCAGCCAGAATTCGCGTATTCTTTACTCGTATGTTTTTTTGGTACAGTACGTCGATCCAGGGTCGGACTAGGCCAGAGGGGCCCGGGTGAAATTTTTTTGCGTATTTTTTCGCCATACTTTTTGGTCAATTTTTCTCTATTATACATATATAAAAATCAGGAAACTACCCCACGCATAAACCAAAATGCAATGCATCCAAATTGCAATGCAAATAATATTAATTAAAAAAACGTTTTGGGGATAACCTCAGAAAATTACCTTCTGTGATATTACCGTCACTTTTTCTGTTTCATTTCTATTTAAGAAGAAATAATCAACTATTAGGGGGAGCTCCCCGCGAAGGCTGGGCTAAATCTCCAACCTGACTATATGGCCAGTCTGACGCGTCGTCTGTCGATCCATTCGGTGAATACAGGGTATCCGTAAAGGGAAAGGGTTACACAAAGTTATCTATACACGAGCAATTCATGGGCATGTTATATATATTTTAAATAATATTGTTTATTTTAATGTTGTTAGTAATAATATTACTTAGTTGTACAAAAATTTCCGAAGTACCTAATCAATGTTATTTTTTTCAACGTTTTGCCACGTAAATGAAACATAATCTTTATAAAAATTAAAAAATCAAGGAGAAAAATAATAAAAATTTAATAAAATCACACACGCAACTATTTTACCGATAACGACTTCACTGTTTTCCAAGTTCGGCCTGCTACCGTTCATCATAAAAATTAGGTTAAGCATCCTGTCAATAAAATTCGACAAACCTGCAAGTGGCCAATGTAATATCATTTTATTAGATTTCTTCCAGAATATAGATAGTATATCCAGGAAAAATCTGGCCATATCTTCTAAGAACTATAAGTTTCATTTGTAAATTATTTTCATATTCATTAAGTCCAAAATGGCGCTATTTTGGTTCTTTAAAATTGCATTAAAAATTTATTCGTTTTTGGAAGGTTTGTGGACTTGTGTATTTTGCTTCCAGACCGACGATATTATAAATATATGGTTATGAATATCATATATTTTAGTATTGAAAATACTTCTGGCCGCGTTTATATGGGACCCATCTTTGAAAAAACGACATGCTGGAGGCGACATGGAGTTCAATAACCTGCCTAATCAACTTGTCAACACGTACGTCGATAGCTGAATAGAGCAAGGCCGTCCGAGGGTCGAAATGAGGTCTTATTAGTGTGGGCCAACTATTTTATGGATATGGATGTTTAGTCTCTGAAAGCCGATATTATTATAAAAAAGAATATGCGTCAAGGCATGGATTGTTAAGTACAGTTGGGCTATTTTAATCTAACTCTTTCCGTATGAGAAGCAGGGGGCAAATTATAAGTGAAAGAGTGGAATAACATAAATAATAAATTTAGACTAATGCAATATTTTTTCTTGGCGCGTAGGATAATGCGCACAATCGATGCATTAAAGGGAATAATTAATTAAATCATATTAATATATAAAAACCAAAACATATAATAATTCGGGTCTCATCGGATCTGCTGATATATTTTGATAAATTTTAGGCTATTAGGACCTATATTTTTTTATATGATAATTATTTTTTTAATTAACAACTTAGGACAAAGAAAAAGCTTGCATGGTTTCCACCGCCAACGTAAAACAAATGAATTCAAGGCGGTGCTAAATATTTATTGGGATAAGTTTTTATCGTTTAAATATTGTTGTAAATAATAATTATCATTTAATTAGTGCTAACTTATTAAATTTCACAACACGGCGAAATTTCAACAATATCGGCTAACGGGATTTTGAGATATTAATAAAAAAAGGTCTATTAGAAAACACCTTGACACCCCTGTATCTTTAAAATTATACATTTCCGGACACATGTTTATATGAACTTTTTACCTTAAAAACACTCAAAGAATCACCTCCTGAAGTTTGGCCAGATACTTAATTAACATCCTGTATTTAAAAATGGCTAGCTAGTGATTTAGTAAGCTATGTTTATTTTAATAGGGAAACAATTTATTTCATAAAAAATAAACAAACCCATAATACAAATACTATACACCAATTAATTAATTTTAATTGTATCTAAAGGCACTTTAATAATTGAAAAATGGACAGGAGCACTTAAAAATAACTTCATAGAGTATACCAAATATGCTAAAAATAATAATTCCAATAAAAAAACACAAATGGCACATTAAAATCTGCATTACCTGAAATCAAACTATAGCTAAACGGCTAATAAAATAATAGAGACAAGACGCCGACATCTATAACAAGATGAGCAGTTTTTAATAATTATTCCGAGTTATTGTTACATACTTGTTTTACAATTATTGTAATATAGTAGCATTCCTTCAAATAAATATTGATTTAAGTATTGTTAATATAGTCATATTAATGAATATAGCCCCTATGATTTCTAAAATAAATAATCAAGCGTGTTTTTATCAGAATTATTAAATGATTAAGTAGAAATAGTTAATATTTAGTAATTTCGTAAGTGTTATATTTTAATATAATTATGGATTTATAATAATTAAATAATTATCTTAAGTTTAAATTGTGGTAAACTTGTATGAGTTTCAATCATTTATATTTAAAATCTTAGGGAAGGCAATATAGATTTCAGGCAGGAGAACTCAAGAGAACGACTGTGTAATTAGTAATTAAGACTTTACAATTTTTTTTTATTTGCCATTTTCTTGTCGTTCACGTTGTAATGTTGACTCTTCGTTGTGTCACACACAATTTGGATTTCGGATATGATGCAGAACTGATAAATTGGACCAAATATATTAATTACAGGTAATCAAAGACATATTCTTGTTAACTTTGCAAACATTTAAGACATGCAATAATTTTAAAAAAATTTGGACGTGAAAACACAACACAACATTATAATTCTTGGAAGTCTTGGATGATAAAGATGTGAATTATTATGGGTCTGTTTTGTTTAAGAAG